GTGTGTGTGCGTGCGTGCGTGCGTGCGTGCGTGCGTGCGTGCGCGTGCGTGCGTGTGTGTGTGGTGTGTGTGTGTGTGTGTGTGTGTGTGTGTGTGGTGTGTGTGCGTGTGCGTGTGCGCGCGTGCGCGTGCGCGTGCGCGTGCGCGCGTGCGTGCGTGTTCGTGTGTGCGTGCGTGTTCGTGCGTGTTCGTGCGGTGTGTGTGTGTGTGTGTGTGTGTGTGTGTGTGTGTGTGTGTGTGTGTGTGTGTGTGTGTGTGTGTGTGTGCGCGTGCGTGGGTTTCCGATGGGCAAGGGGAGAAGCTTTTGTGCCTTCCCCTTTGGCGAGAGTGGCACCGCTCACGAGCGCGCAACCTCGCCCACGGCATGCTCAAAACCTCCCTCACGCTCGGTGAACCCCGCAGGCGGCCCCAGCTCGACTTACTGGGAATCCTACGCCTGCCTGCAGGCGGGGATCCCGTCGTTGACCTGGGGGACGTCTGTGGGGATTCCTATGAACAGAAGGATAGGCCCTTGAGCCTTCCTCGCCAAGCTAGCGGCATCCAGCGTGGTCCCACGGAACTGTCTCGCTGCCACGCACCAGCTCACCTCCCACTGCCGCCGCAACCGCCGCCGCTCAGATTCCCCCTCGCCGTCTCCTTGCCTCTGGAGGTTATGATTTCCTTTTCCTCTCCTCCTCCCTCCGCGTTCTGCTGTCTTTTGCCTCCCCACCTTTTACAATTAGCTGTGCTCCCCGTGCCCCCTCCCCCCTGTAGGCCTCGGGATCATCTATTTCGGCGACGCCCACGGGTGGATGACGCGAGAGGGGCGGCTTTTTCAGAAGGCGGGGGGGGGCTTCTGAGAAGGCAGGGGTTCTTCCCAAGAGGTGCCGGGGGCTTCTCGGAAGGCCTGCGGGCGTTGGCCAAGTGTGCGCCCTCCCTGGCCTCGGCCAGGGGGTATGCACGCCATCCAGGGGGCCCAGGATGGTCCTGCCCGGGCACGGTGGTAGCGCACAGATGCCTTCTGCGGCGTTCGGAGGGGGCGCCTCTCGGAGGGCCGAGGCGCAAGCTTCCCCTTGACTGCTCGAGCCGCACGGGGTGCAGGCTGCGAGCGGCGCGGCTCCCGCGCCCGCGGCGATCGAGGCCGCGCCGATCGAGGCCGCGTGGTCTCCCCTCTCTGATCCCTCTCCTCCCTCGTTCCTCCCATCCTCTGCCTCCGCCCCTCCTCCCATCCTCCTTCCCCTCCTCCCTTCTCCCCCTACTCCCCCACCTCCCTCTCCCCCACCTCCCTCTTCTCCTCCTCCTCCTCCTCCTCCTCCTCCTCCTCCTCCTCCTCCTGAGGGACCTGAGGCACTAAGGCACTGAAGGCGATGGAGTCTCCTGGCGCCGCCCACCGCCCCCAGGGCCCGTCGGCCCGCCCGAGCGGCGCCCCTTTCCACTCGACCCCCCCCCCGCCGTCGGCCAGGGCTGGGCGCCCGCGCGGCGCGACCGCGCGCAGAGGAGCAGAGGGCGGCGGCGGCGGCCCTCGGGAGGCCCTCGGGACGCCGCCCGAGCCGGCGCGCCGAGGTCAAGCCCGGCCGCGGCGGCAGAGGCCGTCGCTGGCCGGGCGGCGGCGGCGCAGGCGCTCCCTGCCACAGCCTCGGGGCAGCACCGCCGGGGGCGCCTCCCGTGCCTCCTGGAGGGGGGGGGGACCGGGGGCCCCCAGTGGCGAGCGCCGGGGCGCGGGGGGCCATCGAGCCCCCGTCGGCGTTGCGTGGGCGATGCTGGGTTGACGCGGCCTCCCCTGAGCCTATCCCCCCTCCAGCCCCGGGGCCCACCAGATGAGGTCGGGGGATCGTGTCGCTTCGTCGATGTATCGCCGATGCATCGGCGATGCGTCAGCGACGTCGGCGATGCATCGGCGATGTCGGCGTGCAGAACATCGGGCTGCACAGCGACCCGCGTAGGCGATGCACCCGCGATGCGACGCGATACTCCGACCCCCCCTTCTGCTCCGACCCCCTCTGGGAGGCCCAGACCATCGGCCCCCCGTCGGCGAGGACTGTGCGATCCCGGGTCGACTCGCCCCTTCCCCCCCCCAACTGAGTCTATCCCCCCACAAGCGTTAGGTCGGGCATGTCCCCCTACAGGCAGATTTTGAAGGAAAAATGGAAACACTTAAAACATGCTCGAAACATTAGTAAACAATGCTAAAACAAATCGTCTCCACATTTTTTAACTATATTGGAATATTCGTCCTGTAGAAAGACAGGCCCGACTTCACACAAGCGTTTCTCCTCCTCCCTCGGCCCGCGGGCGGTGCCCGGCCGCACCACCGGCGGTCGAGGGTGCCTCGGGCTGGGCCGAAGGGCCGAGCAACGCGAGGGCCGGTGGGGCAGAAGTCGCGCGTCTGTGCTCCTCCCGGCTGCGCGCAGGAGCGGCCCGGGGCAGGGGCGACCTCTGCCGGAGGGCGCCAACAACGATCGGGAACTTTTGCGCAACGTGTCGCGGCGGCTGCCCCGGTGACACGCAGTGCCTTGCGAGTGGACCGCGTGTCGCTCCGCTCCGCGGGGCGGGAGGTCGGGAAAGGCTCGGACGCTGACGCTCGGGGGCTGGGAAGTGGATAGCGTGTCGCGCCGAAGCGTGGGGGGCCAGAGCCGACGGAGCGACACGCTAATAAGCCAGAGTTCCCGACCGTAGATTGGCGGCGCGCACAGCAGGGAGGTAGGGGGGAGGGGGGAAGGCTTCTTAGAAGGAGGCCGCTTCTTAGAAGGCGCCGGCCTTACATCTGTGGATCAGGCCCGCGCCTTCTAAGAAGCAGGGGTGCTTCTAAGAAGCCTTCCCCCCTCCCCCTACCTCCCTGCTGTGCGTGGCCGAGTACACACCTACACCGATCCTGGCCGGGCTCATCATGGGCCCAGGATCGGTGTATGCGCCCTCCTGGCTTGGGCAGGAACGCACCTGCACCGATCCCGGGCCCAGGATCGGCCTGGCCAGGGTCGGTGTGGGCATATCGTTGGCGCCCTCCGACTTTGGCGCGCGGCTTCCAGGGGGACCAAGTCCAAGCGCGCGGGCCAGTGCCAGGGGGTCCCCTGTGGACCCGCCCAGGAGGTCACTCAGGCGAAGGGTCGCCCCATTTTCCCTCTCCGTCTGGCTTTCGGGTCATAGCTCGGGTCCCCAGCGGCAGGTCGGGACGATGCGGGCATCCCCAGAAAGCTCTCGGCGAGGCGCAGCTGCTGGAAAGCATTCCGAGGTTGGACCCCCTCCGAGAACCGACGAAAACACTCGAAATCCTCGGGCCAAAGGGTAAGCCTTGTGTAACGCCGAGCCCCCCTGTCCCGTCCTGCTTGGCGTACTTCTCGTAGTTGCGGCTGACCTTCTTCCAGTTCACGACGCTCCAGAACGCCTTGCTGGAAGGGCGGTTGATGGCACAAATCCTGCACCTTGTATGTTGATTGGTGTGAACCCACTCGCATTCATTATTTGATATTGGCGGGCTGCGCCGCGACGTCGACTGGCCGAAATCCAGCGCCGCGCTTGCAATGTCAACATTGAATCGGGGACATGGGGGCGCGTTAAAGTTTGCCCCCGCACCCCAGTTGCGCTGGTGGTGCAGATTTTTTCCCATCAGCCGAAGGGCAACTAAACTTGGCCAGGACAACCTCGGCCAGACCGAGCTCGGCCAGGCTCAACTCGTCCAGGCCGAAATCGGTCAGTCCGACCTCGGCCAGGCCGACCCCGGCCAAACTGAACTCGGCCCGGGCCTCGTTTAGCCTGGCCTCGCTCAGCCTGGCCAAGTTTGGCCTGGCCGAGTCTTCCCTCCTCCTCCTTCTCCTCCTCCTCCTCCTCCTCCTCCTCCTCCTCCTCCTCCTCCTCCTCCCCCCCGGGGGGGGGGCGGGCCTCCTTGCTCTCATCCACTGCGGGCGGCGCAGAACATTCTCGCGGCGCTCGCGGCGCGTCTCCGGCCTCCCAAGCGCTGAAGCTGTGCCGCGCGAGCCCTGCGGCACGCCGGCGCGAAGTGCCCTGCGCCGAGAGGCTCAGGAGGGTGGTCTGGGGCAGACATCTCGAATCAAGGTTAGGTCGGGCCTGCCCCCCTACAGGGGGATTTTGGACGACAATTAAAACATATTCAAAAAATACCCCAAAGATGCCGACCATACTCAAAAAATAATCCCAGACTATTTAAAAACAACTATTTTCGAATACTCCCCCGGTAGAGGGAGAGGCCCGACTCAAAACCAAGGAGCCTCCAGGGCATCCCTGGAGCTCCCAGGGCTCCCCAGCGCTCCCAGGGCTCCCCGGGAGCACACGGCGCGCGCCGCCACGGCGGAGCTGGTCAGGCGTGGCGCCAGCTGGCCGTGGCGGCCTGCCCGCCGCGTGCGCCGCCGCGCATGCTGGCGCGGCCCCGCCGCCTCGGCCAGCTCAGGGCCGGGCACGCCGCAGCAGCCCGCGGGTCACAGCCGCCACCCCCGCGGGCTGTGGCGCGGACACGGTGAGGGCAGTGGATGAGGAACCGCTGGGCCGTCGACCCCCTCGGGTCAGGGAAGAATCGCGACGGGAGGTTTTTTTCGCTCTTTTCGGCCTCTGGGGGGGCCTCACGGGGCCCCGCGAGAGTGAAAGACCGACTCAGATTGAGAAACCAGTCCCAGGGATGGGTCCTGACCTCTGGGTGTCGACGTCATGAAAAAATCATGACGTCGGGGGTCTGGGGATAACATCGGGAACTTTTGCTTAGCGCGTCGCCACGGCGGCCCCGGCGACACGCGAAGCCCTGCGAAGAACTAGCGTGCTGCTCCGGTCCGCGGGGCGTGAGTCTCGGAAAAGCTCAGGACGTTGACGCCGGGCGGCCGGGAAGTGGATAGCGTGCGTGTCGCACCGAAGCGTGTCGGAGAAGGAATCCAGGGTCTGGAAACTGGTGTAACTCCAATCGTGGGTTGGCTACGGGAATCACCGCCGACCTCATCAGATAAGGAATCCTCCAAGGTCTGAAATCCTCTGGGCACATTCTTTAGCCAATGCCCCCATGCTAGATTTTTTTTTTTGTTCAGGGAACCCGCAAGGCGCCACATGTCTCCAGTCCGACCACCATTCACACGCAGCCTCAGCCAGCCTGCCAGGCCCGAAGCGAAACTCTGGGCACGCACAGTGAGGGAAAAACGTCTTATTCAAACCCACATAAGACGAAAGGGTATTGGCGCCGTGTGGGCAACTACCCCAAGTGGCTTCACACAACGGCACAAGAGAGGATAACTCCCCCATGCTAGAGGAGCAAAAAGCGGTAGAAACAGAAGCTTTCGGAGATCCGCGCGGATCTCTCGGATCGGTGCTGGACCCCCCTCCCCTCCCTAACGCGCGGAGCGCGCCAGGCGCGGCGCCAGAGGCGCCACCTGGGGGGCCCAGGCGCTGATCCAAGAAATCCGCGCGGACCTCCGAACGTTTAAAAAAGCTTGTGCAGTTTTGTTCTTCGAGCGGAGCGCGGCCTCGGGACTCGTGCGTGGTGCTCCTTGCCCAACGCGTTTCCCGGTTGACCGAGAAGCCTTCTCATCCCTCTTCCTGTCTTTCCCGCGCCTCCGTCTTGCCGCTCTTCCGCCAAATGCCAGCACGAATTCGAGAAGAGTACCTTGCCAGTGTGGACAACTAGTGGATCGCAAGGCAGGGGTCATCGACGGACGGCGGTGGAGCATGAACTGCATGAATCGCCCACCACAAGAAGAAGGGATGCATGTTACAATTACAATGACCAATGGTGATCATTACGATCATTTGGGGAGGACGAGGGAGGATAGTGTGGGGAGACCGCCGAAACGTCAAACGACATGGGCAGATCATCCCAAGGTGAGTCGGTTCCCTGACTAGGCTGGACATGGGGATTAGCAGATGTGCGCTTCAGCAGAGAAGAGATGTCCATCTCCAGGGGTATCATGCCAAACACGTCTTTATATCGATACCACAAGAAGAGGGGAGGTAAAGAGGGAGGAAGGAAGGGGACGTGGGAGGAATGGGGAGAATGGGGAGAAGGGAATATGAAGGGAAGATGAGGGATCGATGCCCCCCCAAAAGATGCGGCCCACGCTTTCCACCCGTGCTCCTTGACGTAGTCCGCCCTCAAGTTCTGGTACTTGAGGTAATAAGCATGCTCCCAAACGTCGAGACCGAGAATCGGGACGAGCTTGTGGCCCTCCTTTGTAGTCCTGTCCTGCTGCCAACGTCTCGGCGGCTCTGGTCCTCGGCCTCCCTCTCCTTCTCCCTGTCGTCGCTGTCAATGGTCGCGTGGCTTCATCTTCTTCTATACCTCCTCCTCCTCCTCCTCCGTATCCTCCAGTGCCGCTGCTCAGTCCATTTGTCAGATACACGATTGAGATGACACGACAACAGTATGACATGTAGCTCCCAACGACTTCCTGCTATAACACTGGCCAAGCAATGTACTCCTTTGGCTGGAATCTCAACTGTCAGCCCTGCTAGCGGCACCAGAGGTTCGTAAGCCACAAGCGCACGCTTCACGCCTATTGTCCCACTGCTTACCTCTGACTTCTGATTCTTTTTCAGTTGGGCTGCGCAGCAGAGCCACGCCCTTGGTATGTACTGCTGCGCGGAGGAGGGGGAATTACTAAAACCAGCAAGTTGCACGTTCTGGCTTGCCTTGCCCCTACTCGCGTCTGGGATCTGCGCAAGCGCCGCTCGCTGCGACTCGTTGGCCGCTTCGAGTCGGCGATCATCCGCGCGCAGGTGTTTGCGCCCCCGCCCGCTCTCCCTCCAGTGCAATCGTGGATGTCTGCGGCATGACGATCAATCGCAGCTGCAAGACCTCTGGACAGCGACGCTCTCTGGACGGACGGCTCGAGGAGAGTGAACACAAGGAAGCTCGGAACACACGCGGCTGATTCCTTACTCGAAACGTGCAAAAACCATGCGCTGGATAAGCGCGCAGAAGGCTCGTGCACCTGTGCGCGCGAGGGCCGAGCGCCGGAAAGACGTGCGTCCACACGTGTATCCTGCACTTGCGAAGCGGAGTGGCCCAACAGGGCTACGGTCCAAATCCGTTCAACATCAATCCTCTGACCTCTCTCGGCGTCCATCCTGGCCCAATTTCTCTGGCTGCGCCCCACGAGAGCGCACGAGACGGTGACAGCGGAGAAGGCAGATGACGCCAGACGCAGGCTGAGGACGCGCAATCGATGCATTCCTGCTCCGAGTTAAGAACTTTGCAGGCCAAGCAAACGGACGTCGCTTGGGACGTTTTCTTAAGCAGAAGTCCAGGCCCAGATCTAATTCTCTGAAGTGAAATCAGTGAACTCTGGAGCCCGTTACATGTGCTGCTTTCTCGTGAGGTTCCTGATGTGTGCCCGGGCTGAACCTAAACGGTGTTTTTCGTTTTCGTTCTGTTTTCGTTTTGTTTTCGTTTTGCCCTCGTTTTGTATTCAATCCGCCTTTACCGCAAAAAACGAAACCGGCCCACGAAATCGCCAGAACACCGTTTAGGTCCACCGCTGATGTGCAAATCGAGAGCACGTCAGCGTCTGCAGAAGAAATGGGATGTGGGTCGACAGGAACCTGCGAAGCACCCGCCAAGAGAAGGCAGCGCTCTCGGCAGCGCGCGGCGGCCTGCCCGTCGCTCGGGCAGTGAGGAGGAGGAGGAGGAAGAGGAGGAGGAGGAGGAGGAGGAGGGAGGAGGAGGAGGGGAAGGAGGGGGATGAGGAGGAGAGAAGACAGAAGCAGAACGACGGACTGGAGGAACCCATCCTCCTGCCACTCCGTGCGCGCCGCGCGAAAGAATGCAAAAGGCCACCTTCTCCACCGGGTACTCGAGGCCCTCCATGAGGGGGTTGTCCTGCCGCTCGCCCCTGCTGCTGCTCCTCCTTCTCCTCCTCCTCCTCCTCCCTGCCCCCTCCCCCTCCCCCTCCTCCTGCTGCTGCTGCTCCTGCTCCTCGTGTTCCTCCTTCCTCCTCCTCCTCCTCCTCCTCCTCCTCCTCCTCCTCCTCCTCCTCCTCCTCCTTCTCTTCCCGCTCCTCCTTCTTCCCCTGCACCTCCTTCTCCCCTTCGAAGGATCCCCATGGCCATCCTCGCCGAGGCCCGTCGGATCCTGCTGCCTCGTCCCTCGCTTGCGGCACGGGGGGTCATTCGCTGGCGCCCACAGCGCCGGCCTCCGCGGAGGGGAGGGGAGCAGGATGACAAGGAGGATGGAGGAGCTGCCGCTCCCACCTCCTTCCTTCCCTCTTTGGCCTCAGGCGGCCCTCCTCCTCCTCCTCCTCCTCCTCCTCCTCCTCCTGCTCCTCCCTCCTCCTCCTCCTCCTCCGCCTCCTCCTCCGCCTCCTCCTCCTCCTCCTCCTCCTCCTCCTCCTCCTCCTCCTCCTCCTCCTCCTCCTCCTCCTCCTCCCTCCCCCTTCCCCTCCTCCTCCTCCTCCTCCTCCTCCTCCTCCTCCTCCTCCTCCTCCTCCCGTCCTTCGGAAGTGGCAGCCCCGCGTGCCGGGGCCCAGTGGCGCGCGCGCCGTGCGCACGCGTTGCGCGGTGGAGTGGAGTGGGGAATGCCATTTCGACTGACCGAACATGTTCCAATTTGCAGAATAAATCATTCAACATGCGGCCCGCGCTGCAGCGATACCGTTATTCCAGTGGACGGATGTATGATGGGGGTTCAACAATGTGGCCAACGCTGCAACGGGAATGCAATTCTGAATGACCGAAGCTGTTCTGACAGCGGCTGCACACCGCCAGGGCAGAGGGAAGGGGGAAGTGGTACTGGCACCGAGCCGCTGCAGGGCCGACTGCAGAACGAGCCGCAGGCCCCGCCCTGCCTCTCCTCAGCCCCGTTCCCGGCCATCCTGATGGCGCGGCGGGCCGCCAAGGCCGCCCGCTCGCCGACCTCATCGAGCCGATCCGGCTCCCCTCGGGGGGGAGGGCATTGCTGGGGAATGGTGCGCAAGGGTCGGTCCGTGTCGTGTGGGCGCGGCGACGGCCCCAGCGCGGCCGTCATCGCCTGGCATCGAACGATGCGCGCTATCGGGGAGCCGCGGTCGTTCAGAAGGCGGAACGATCCGTGCGGTGCCAGACACCCACGCCGAAACCGTCACGGCACGGGACTGCCGTGAGGGATGTCAGGAGCACATCCTCTGCACGGGGATGGCGCGCCTCGGCCTGCCCCCAGCGAGCGCGTGCCGGGGGAGGGAGGCCGCCCGCAGGCCCGCGCAGAGGACCACGCTTCGGGCTTCGCGGTGCGGGCCGCGAGCCTGGCCCTTCCCCGTTCCTCCTGCCTCCTCGGTCTCGAGGCGGATCTAGCCGCGGCGGCGAGAAGCCCCCAGCAGGCCCGGAAAAGGGACGAAGAGCGCCCGAAACCTCGACCTCTCCCTCCTCCTTCCGTCCTCCCTCCCTCCCTCCTGTCCCCACCCTGTCCTCCTCTCCTCCACCGCAAGACATGCCGTTTTGGCGGGCTGTGCGTTTCGCCGGAGACTTCCTCACAATCAATGATATCGAAACTGGAGAATTCCGACATTTGCACAAATGGATCCCATATGGTTTTCAAACTGGGGTTCTCGCCATGGCGCCGCGCACACTCGTCTTAAGCGGACGGAGGGCGGGCGTTCTTAGAATGGGGGTCTTGCCCTGGTGCCGCGCTTGCTCTTTTTATCAACTTGCACTTCGGTGGATGGATGACGGCTCGATGCCAACATGGGACTCCGGCCGGAGACTTCCTTGAACAGCTACGCGGATGGAGGCGGCTTCTGTCTGACATCGGGCTCCCGATCCAAATTTCACACGGCTATAAGATACTAGCTTTGTAAGTCTGCCACGCTGGCGCAAATGAAGGGCATAATCTTCTCAAAACCGAACTATCGCTGGGCACTTCCTTGAACGTTCTGGCGCTCCTTCTTTGCATCTCGTGCAGCTGGAAGCCTGGACCGTGTGTCCTTGACAAGACGGGATCTTGCCTGAACGGCAAGACCACCAAGCTTTCGTCTGCTAGGGGTGGGGGCGCTTCCCCCAGTGCAGAGGAGTCCGCCACCGTGCCTTAGGAGGCCTCGGTCCTCAATGTTGGGCATTGTGCCAAACTCTTGAAGGGGCCCAGAGGCCAGAGAGGTCCAAGAGCGGAGGGTCTTAAGAAACGCCCAAGATGGTCCAAGAGGGCCCCAGAACGGCCCAACAACGCTCTAAGACGCCCAAGATGAAGTGAAAACGGTCCAAAGGGGCTCACCCAATACGCACCGACACGACAGCCCCCCCCCCTAGATAGCCCAAGAGGCCCCCAAGAGGGGGAACCCGAACTGACATTTCGAGCCTTTCCCCCACATGGGCCATGTGCCCCCCCGAGACCACCCGCAGGCCCCCAAGAAACCTCAAGACGCCCCCCCCGACGCCAAGAGGAACCCAAGAGGCCCCAATAGGGCTCCCAGAGGCCTCCAAGAGGCCACTGAGAGGCCCCCCAAGCCCCCCGATAAACCCCCCAAGAGCCCTCCAAGAGGTCCACGAGAGGTAGTCCAATAGGCACCAAGATGCATGCAAGAGGCCTCCAACCCACAATCCAGGTACTGTGGTGGGACGGGCCGAATGCCACCAGGTGTACTCGTAGGAACTTCTGAAGAGGGGACTTGGGACGGGAGGGCGTGCTGCAGCATTGTTGATTCATCTGGGGGCCACTCTTGTCCTCCTCCTCCTCCTCCTCCTGCTGCTGCTCCTCCTCCTCCCTCCTCCTCCCTCCTCCTCCTCCTCCCTCCTCCTCCTCCTCCTCCTCCTCCTCCTCCTCCTCCTCCTCCTCTTCCCTTCTGCCACTCGTGGCCCCCCCCCCCGCGTATTGCGCTGCGGCGCCCCCCCCTTCAGGGTCTTGGTTGGCCGTAGACGTCACCGCGAGAGCGCCGTCTGGCTTCACGCCCAGCCAGGCCCACCCGCTGCCGAACCGCCCCATCGCCGCCTTCGCGAACTCGGCCTGTGCGAGAGAGGAGAACGAGGAGGAGGGGATGGGGAGGGGGAAAGCAGGAGGGGGAAAGGAGGAGGGGTAAAGGCGGAGGGGGAAAGAGGAGGAGGAGGAGGAGGAGGAGGAGGAGGAGGAGGAGGAGGAGGAATAGGAGGAAGAGGTGGATGAGGAGGAGGAGGACGAGGAGGAGAAGGAGGAAGAGGAAGAAGAGGAGGAGGAGGAGGCGGAGGAGGAGGAAGAGGAAGAGGGGGAGGAGCATTATGATGACGCTGCTGCTGCTGCTGCTGATGATGATGATGATGATGATGATGATGATGATGATTATGTTGATGTTGATGTTGATGTTGATGTTGATGTTGATGATGATTATGATGATGATGCTGATGATGATGATGATGCTGATGATGATGATGATGCTGATGCTGATGCTGATGCTGATGATGATGATGCTGCTGATGATGCTGATGCTGATGCTGATGCTGATGATGATGATGATGCTGATGATGATGATGATGATGCTGATGCTGATGATGATGATGATGACGATGATGATGACGATGATGATGATGATGATGATGATGATGATGCTTATGATGATGATGATGATGATGATGATGATGATGATGCTGATGATGATGATGATGATGATGATGATGATGATGATGATGATGATATGATGATGATGATGATGATGATGATGATAAGGAGGAGGAGGATGAGGAGGAGGAGGCGGAGGAGGAGGGGGAGGAGGAGGAGGAGGAGGAGGAGGAGGAGGAGGCCGAGGACGAGGACGAGGAGGACGAGGAGGAGTAGTAGGAGGAGGCAGAGGATCAGGAAGGAAGCAGGAGGCACGGAGCCCAGTAGGCAAGCTCCCGAATTACGATATCCAACTGGAAAACATGGACTGGAGCACGCGCGCCGTCAACCTCCGCCCCAACCGCACGTCCGTGAGCGGCGCACACGTGGGGCAAGCTGGACGGGAACGGCATACCATGGATCACCCTCCGCGTCTGCAAGCAGTGACGCACACGAGAGGCCATGGCAGCCCGCCTAACTAGGCGATGCCAAGGACTGGACGAATTCGATCACCCGCTCCAGAGCGTGCCGATCGTCGCCGCTCAGATCTTCGCCGAGCGTCTCTCCAGCCTTGGCGAGGGCCACGCAGCCGAGGCCAGACGTGCCGGGCCTCGCGGCCAGGAAGTCGGCCATCGACTGCAGGGCGGCGCCGCCGTCCGCCACCAACGGCCGCCGCATTCGGCGCGACCTTCGAAACAGCGTGCGCCACGGAGGGCCCCGCCGCCGCGCCAGGCGCCCCGTCTCCAGCAGCCACCGCCCCTGCTGGGCCTCCGAACCGCTGGTGCCCCCGCAGCGGGGGAGGCGTCGGCCTAGGAGTCGTGCAGCGACTCGGCGTCGAGCTCCATGGCAGGCTGCGGCGGCAGGCGTGCCGGCGGCCGCCCGCCGCCCGCCGCGCCGCGCGGCGTTGGCGGCGGCGCCGACGTTTCGCGGCGCGAGCCGGGGGGTCGGTGGCCACCGCGCCACCACCTCCAGGGGTACATCCACGGTCTTCATGCTGAGCTCCAGCAGCGCCACTGTCGGACTTCTCGGCCTGCTTGATCAACACAGCCGAGACGGCGGACCGAGCCACCGCCGCCACCGGGCGCGTCGGCGCTCCACCAAGTACTGCCCCACGAACAGAAGCCTCCACGAAGGCGGCCGCAGCGATCTCGGGCACGCAGGCTTCTCTGGGCCACGCCATCCCGCTAGGCCAAGGGCGAGAGCCGAGGGCGAGGGGATGAGGGAAGGAGGAGGAGGAGGAGGAGGAGGAGGAGGAGGAGGAGGAGGAGGAGGAGGAGGGGATGTGAAGGAGTGGAGGGGAAGAGGGAGGAGGCGCTTCGAGACCTTTGGCTGCCCTGCAGAATCCATGGTGGTTCTCGCTGGAGTCCTCGGCGGTAGTTTAGACGATGTGAGACGCAGGGCGTGCATGTCCGATGCGTTGCAACGGCTCCAGACTGCGTTCGCCAGGAGGGAGCGCTGGCGCGCTCATTCCGAATCCACTTGGCCTAAACTGAACCATCCTAGCCAGCGTGGACCCCAAGCAATGACTTCTTGCAACATTTGCGGTGCAGTCTGGGTGGTGCAACCAATATGATGCAGTCTAGATGGTGCACGCAGTAAGAGGCAGCCTACGTGGTGCAAAGCAATGCGTTGCGATGCAAGGCACAGCAACGACATGCAAACCAAGGCTTTGCAAAGCAATGCAGAGCAATGCAGAGCAGTGCGGAGCAATACAGAGCAATGCAGAGCAATGCAGAGGAATGCGAAGCACGTGAAGCACTGCAGAGCAATTCGAAGCAATGCATCGCAACGCGGCGACTTGCGGCGACGAGCCAGCCAGACCGCCACTGGGGCCCAGCGGGTGACGGCGGCGACGGGCGGCGACGAGCCGGCTGGACCGCCACATGGGGCCCAGCGGCGACGAGGGGCGACGAGCCGGCCGGACCGCCACCAGGCGCCAGTCACCTTCGAGCGCAAGTAAGGAATCCCCCAAGTGCAAGCACTGCTTGGGAATTTGCAGCTCACGTCTGGCCAACTCTCGGCTCCCTCCTCTCCCTGTCCTCGCCCGTCCGCCTCCCTGCTCCCGCCTTGTTTCTGGGCTGTGGCGACGATGCCGTTTTCGCTGGCCTCCCCCCGCGCGATCTTGCCGGGGGCGTCCAAGAGGGGCGCGTCCCAGAGAGGGGGTTCACAAATCATGCCCCGAGGCACGTGCGCGGCCTGGGGGGGGGGGGACGGCGGGCCAAGGGACGTGTTGAAACCATGGCCCTGGCCATCACGATATCCCTCCCCCTTGTCATCACCCCCCTCTTGCCCCCCCCCCCGGGCTGCCCGAGGGAGGGAAGGAAGGCGGAGCGAGGAGGATGGAGGAGGAGGATGGAGAAGGAGGCGGAGGACCAGTGTAAATCCAATACTCATCAACGATGTTGGAATAAACCCTTCCTCCAAGCCCCCCCTTCATATACATTGATTCAGCTTCAATGACTGAAGTGCTCCGTTGGGGGACAATCGTTTGAAGATCCTGAACATGCCAAAACACCATTCTCGGGACCCCAACGCCACGAGTGAACTTGACTGTTGCGTCGTGACGGTCCTGAATGGTGCCAACACACTTTTCCTGGGACTTCAGCACCGCAAATCAGAGTAACTGCTGCGCCCTGGCAATGCTGAGTCGTTCAGGCGCGCACTTTTTCGAACGTTGTCCGTGGGAATCCGTTCAACTCATCTCTTGCAACTGTTTAAGACGAATGTGCACGGCGTGAAGACGAGAACCACATTCTGAAAACCACCCGCCATCAATCCGTGAAGCTCTTTCAACTGTTTAAGACGACTGTGCGCGGCGCTAAAGCCGAGACCACATTTTGAAAACGGCACGCACTCAATTCGTGAAACTCTTGGAGTTTTTATAACGTATGTGCGCAGCGCTGAAACGAGAACCACATTTTGACAACCACCCGTCCTCAATCCGTGAAGCTCTTGGATCCTTAACGACGAATGTGCGCGGCGCCAAGGCGAGAGCCACATTGTGAAAACGGCCCGCCCTCAACCGGTGAAGCTCTTGCAACTTTTTACGACGAATGTGCGCGGCGCTGAGACGAGAACCACATTTTGATAACAATCCGCTCTCAATCCGTGAGACTCTTACAACTTTTGGAATGGAATGGATGTGCGCGGCGCTAAGTCGAGATCCACATTTTGAACACTGTTCGCCATCAAATCGTGAAGCTCTTCACATTCTTAAGACGAGTGTGAGCGGAGCCAAAGGGAAAACCACATTTTGAAAAACACCTGCCCTCTATCTGTGAAGCTGTTGCCAGCTTCTAAGCTTCATGCTCACACATAGTTTGGAAGTGTCAGGCGAAACGCCCAGCCCGCCCTTCGGACGGGTCTTGGGGTGCGACAAGGAGTAGTTGTTTACAAGGTAAGGGAATGGAGGAGGAGGAGGGGGAGGAGGAGGAGGAGGAGGAGGGAGGAGGAGGATGATGATTATGCTGATGCTCATGCTGATGCTGATGATGATGATGATGATGATGATGATGATGATGATGATGATGATGATGATGATGAGGCGAAGGAGGAGGAGGGGGAGGAGGAGGAGGAGGAGGAGGTGGAGGCGGAGGAAGAGGGGAGGTAATCCCCAAACCCTCGCCGCGCGGGGCCCTCGCTGCAGGCGAGCTGCGCCCCCAACCGCCAGAGCGGGCACGGCCCGCGCTGCACGGAGCGAGGGAGAGAGAGAGAGAGAGAGAGAGAGAGAAAGAGAGAGGGGGAGCGAGGAAGCGTCGGCTTCGCGCCGAAGGCAGAGAGAGAGAGAGAGAGAACACCACTTCGGATAGTGCCGCACGCGCTCCGCGGACACGCCTCGCAAAGTGGGAGGCGCCGCATGATAAGCAGGGGTGGTGGGACAGCATCCCCCCTGTCGCGGACTAAGTGCTGGGGGGGCAGGCCTCTTCAGAGACGGCGGCGCTTCGGAGAAAGCCCCTGGGAAGCTCCGCAGGAGGCCGGGCTCCTGCCGAGAAGCCCTCCGTGCCCAGCGGCTTCGGCGAAGGCCTCGGCCTCCTGAGAAGGCCCCCGTCCCCCTTGGACGCGCCGTTGGGGGAGAGAGAGAGAGAGAGAGAGAGAGAGAGAGAGAGAGAGAGAGAAAGAGAGAGAGCGTGCGTGCGGTGAGCTCTGCATCTGTGCGCCGCCTTTCTCTCTCCTCCTTCTCCTCCTCCTCCTCCTCCTCCTCCGCGGCCGCCCTTGCCTGCCTCCCGCCCGCTCGTGCGCCCAGCCCGCCCAGCAGCGCCCCCCGCGCTCTGGCCACGGACGCGGTGCGCGCTCGCCACCGCTGCGGCTAGACAGAGTTGCTTGATGCGCGGGGGGCGACGGAGAACACGTGGGCCCCTCGTGCGCCCTGGGCCCCACGGGGGCCCTCGAGGGGCTCCGAAGATGCACGCGCGGCGCACCTTCGGAGCCCCCGTGCGCAACGCCCGAGGGCCTCGGGGGCCATCCGCTCCAGAGCTGAGCGGGCGCCGGGGCCGCGGTGGCAGCAGCGGCCGGGCGAAGAGTGGCGTGCGCTCGCGTGCTCCCGCTTTGTCCTGCTCCACCGCCGAGCCGCAGCTTGCCGCGCCTCTCTGTGCCCCTGCGGGCCGCGCTGCTCGTTCCTCGCTCTGCCGCGCTCGGTCTGCTGTCTGGTTGCTCGGCGCTGCGGCCAGTGCTCGCCCGAGTCGGGAGAAGAAGGGGTCAGGAGAAGAGAGGGGGGGCCTGCAGGGCCTCTGAGGATCGTCAACGGTGGTCTTCCAGGGTCGGGAGTGATGACAGGGTAGGGGTGGGGAGAGGGGAAGGCGAGGAAGATAGGCAGGAGGCAGAAGAGGGAGGAGTGGAGGCTGGAGAGGGAGAAGGAGGAACGGGAGTGGGAACGAAAGCCCACAAAGGAAGCAACAACAAACTCAGGAACACATTGTGGTGGCCTTCATGCCGTCAAAGCTGCCGAACTTGTCGTCGATGGCCGCCGCGAGGTCATCCTGTGCCCCTGTCCTGTCGTCCGCTTCCGCTCGCCGTCCTCTCCGCCCCTCGTCCACACCAGGGTAAGGAGCATGTGGAGGAGGTTGAAGGAATAGGGGGATGATATGACGACGACGTAGACGATGATGGCGATTGATAATGATGGTTATTGGGGCGATGCTGTAGCTTGTGATAATAATGCCGCTGCAGATGATGATGCTGCTGCTGATGCTGATTATGATGATGATGATGATGAGGATGCCGATGCCGATGATGTTGAGGTTCTTGATGCTGTTGCTGCTGCTGATGATGATGATGATTATGCTGACGATGATGATGCTGATGATGATGACGATGATGGCGATGGTGAAGGTGATGACGCGGCTGATGCTGCTGCTGATGATGATGGCGATGATGATAATGATGATGAGGACGATGATGGTGCTCGTGCCTCTGATGCTTACTATGATGATTATGGCGAGGCTCACCACTACGACGATGAGTATATAGATGGCGTGGCTGATCCAGATGTTGATTGTGATGCTTGTGGGAGAAGAGGGATGCTTGCTATGACGATGGCAGTGATGGCCAGGAGGCAGATACGTGGCCTCATGGTAAGGATGATGGTCATATCGTGATGACGAATATCGTGAGGAGGCGGAGGCGGAGGATGAAGATGATGATGCTGCTGATGATGATGGTGATGATGATAATGAGGAGGAGGAGGAGGAGAATTTGCAGCGTCGAGGAACGAGGAGGAGGAGGAGGCCGTAACCATTGTGGCTCCAGGCATTTCAGCTGAGCGATGGTGGCATGACCGCCCTACCGCTCGTGGCGACGCCCAGGTGCGGCGCCAGTGCCATGGCGCCCGCGAGGCCGTGCCAGCGCGCCGTTGCCGGCGCCACCGCCAAGACGGGTGGCTGCCCGAGCGCGTGGCGGCCATGCGATCTCCAGGCTCAAGAGATTGCTACGATGGGGCTCACAGCGGCCTGGCGAGCAGCGCGCCGCAGGCGCTGGCTCGCCATCGGAGCAGCAACGCGGCACCAGCAGCATAACACCACATACATCGTCATCCAAGTAGCCCCCGGGACTCGGAGCTCCAAGCCCGCCCTGGACTACAACAGCCGGGACTGCACAAGCTACTAGCACGCCTGTATGGAGTACCCAGCCACTACATGGAGTGGGCGGCTGGCAGCAAACGAGCGTGAGCTCCGCGGTGGCACTCCCGACAGACGCCCACATCGTTGACAAGGCACAGGCGGTGGTCCGTGGCGCAACCGCTCGCCGAGACCATCGTGCCGACCCGCCCACCTACGCCAACACTGACGCCGACATCAATGTCGACGCCTGCGGCTCTGCGGTACCTCCTGGGGTAGCGGCGGCTGTCTCCGTCGTGAGTGCGCCTACAGGGCCAGTGCCGGCGAGAGCTCCTAGTAGGGAAACAGCCGCTGCTTCCGCCGTGGGTACGCCTGGGGGGTCAGTGCTGGGGAGAGTTCCCAAGGGAGCAGCGGCTGCCACCGCCGAGAAAACGCCTGCGGGGTCAGTGCTGGCGAGAGCTCCTGGATGAGCAGCCACAGCGGCCAGCGCTGCCGATGGCGAGCGCCAGCGAGATGTGGCGCCCGAGGAAGCTGCGGACCCCTCCTCGTCCTCGTCCTCGTCCTCGTCCTCGTCCTCGTCCTCGTCTTCCTCCTCCTCCTCGTCCTCGTCCTGCCCGCGGGAGCCGCCGCCCACGGCTCAAACGAACAGTGGGAGCCCGGGGAAACGCGGGGGGGGATCCTCCAGCAGCCACGCCCTGCTTGCTCTCCCTGCTCACTCCCTCGGCTCCGTGGCCGAGGATGCCCCCACGGGCAGCTGCGGCAGGAGCAGGAGGCGGACGTCGAGCCCCGAGTGGCCGCAAGCCCTGCGAAGGAGCCCGACAAGGGCATATCCGGGGAAACGGTCGGAGGGGCAGCCGCCGCGGGCACGTCCACAGGGCCAATCGGCGAGAGCTCCTCGGGGAGCGGATTCAGCAGACGAGCAGCCTGTCGACCAGGGACCAGATCACGTCCACGAGGCTGACCAACTCACCGTTCTCCTGAAAGAAATCTGGGCTCGTGGAGCCCAGGCCGTCTTCGACACGCTCGGGGAGGCCATCCAAGAGCCTCACTTTACGGTCCTAAGTGACGAGGTAGGCGCCTGGTTACCGCCGCTTCAAGCAGGCGCGGGAGCAACAGGGCCACCCACTCTTCTCCCCGTGGAATGGAATGCCATGCCAGATGAAGACACATGTGCATGGATGCCCACGGGACCGCCGGACGCTCGCGTCTCGACAGGCACCGTCCGCTGGGACCTCACGCTATCCCATCCTCGATACGCATACCGTGGCGCATCTTTGCAGAGCATCTCGAGGAACGGCTCTGCCATGCCTTGAACGAGGACTCTGGGGACGACCCAGACGAGTGCACTTAGAGTGTCGGCTCCCACCGTCCAATGCCCACTCGGTATCTGCTCACGCCAGGGGTGAGCCGCCACTGGTGGAAAGAACGGCCAGAGGCTTGGGATCCCTGAGCAACAGCCTGAGGAGCACGAGGAAGGAGGAGGAGGAGGAGGAGGAGGAGGAGGACGAAGATGAGGAAAACGAGGTGGTGCAGGAGGATGGTCCGCAGCTCCAGCCGCAGCGTGCTGCCTAAGCAGGGCCGACCCCCCTGTCAACCTCCCCTCCTCTTCACAGCGTCATGTGCTATTACCCTCTTCTTCACTTCCCTGGTGCCTCGTCGTCGCCTGCTTCGCAGCCAACAGCCGCACTACACTGGACCTTTAACAGTTTTGCTCCTCCAGCTTGACTGCCTCCCTCCCCCCAAGCTGCAAGCCGGTTTGGGTACCTGCGCAGCGGCGCCTGCAGGGCGGCGCCGCGGCAACCGCCTGCTACTGAGCTATTTCCTCCAGACTACAAGAGGTGAGCTGGGACACGGGCTTGATGCAAACATTCATCAACCATCCAACCAGTGCATACTTCTCCGGTGCCGCACACGCGCAACCTCGCTGCGTGCGAGCATGCGCTGCCACGCCCACAAGCGAGCCGTCGTGCCCAATGTCCAATGCAAAGGCAACACGGGCCACTTGCACACCGCCAGGGCACTGTGTGCCAACTACGCACTCTCCTCTTCTTCTATCTTCCTCGTATTCACCGTTCATCTTGTCCCGCCGCCCTCGCCCTCCTCCTCCTGCTCTTCCTCCTCCTCCTGCTCCTCCTCATCCTCCTCCTCCTCCTCCTCCTCCTGCTCTCCTGCTCCGCTCAAAGAGTTGCGCTTGTGGGTGCCCGTGGTCCGGGAGCACCCGCAGCAGGGAGCCTTGCGCTGCTCGACGGTGGGTGGGAGATTGGGTGGACGGGGTGGGCACAGGGGTGGAGGAGGAGGAGGCATACCTCTGGTCGCAAGGCTTTTTTGCACCCCCAAATGCGAGCTCGCCTAGGTCGCTCGATGCTGCGAGCGCGCAGCATCCCAGCGCCAACGAGAACGCCACCGCTATCTGAGGGCTGAGGAGGATGGTACAGAGGCACGGGGGTCGGACAAGAGATGAGAGGCGGAAGAGGATGCCCTCCCCCCCCACCGGTGGACAAAGCATGTGGCCCAGCCTCGCTTGACGAGCGCTGACGGCGCCCAGGGGGCGGGGCCACTCCTGCTATCCATCTACTTTTACTCCTTCCCCCCCACTCCCCAACGGCGATGTCCGCTGGAGGGGGGTGTCAGCACCGTCCCTGGATCGAATGCCATCAGCGACAGCAGGATGAGGAGGAGGAGGAGGAGGAGGAGGAGGAAGAGGAGGAGAAGGGGAGGGGGAGGAGGGGGAAGAGGAGGAGGAGGAGGAGGAGGAGGAGGAGGAGGAGGAGGAGGAGGAGCAGGAGGATGAGGAGGATGATGATGATGAGGAGGAGGAGGAGGAGGAGGAGGAGGAGGAGGAGGAGGAGGAGGAGCAGGAGGAGCAGGAGGAGCAGGAGGAGCAGGAGGAGGAGGAGGAGGAGGAGGAGGAGGAGGAGGAGGAGAGGAGGAGGAGGAGGAGGAGGAGGAGGAGGAGGAGGAGGAGGAGGAGGGGAGGGGGGAAGAAGGAGAAGGAAAAGAAGGAGGAGGGGAAGGAGGGGGAGGAGAAGGAGGAGGAGGAACAGCCTCCTTGCCCCCCTCGCCACGAGCCCCCCTCACATAATGCCCCCCCGAGCTCCCCCTCGCGCCAAGCCGCAGGGAGCCGTGCTTCCGGGGGGGGGGGGGGGAGGACGCCCCGCGCCCTCGCTGGAGGGCCGCGTCCACCTTGGGCTCTGGCTGCGGACGTGTATCCTGCTGCTGCTGCTGCTGCTGCTGCTGCTGCTGCTGGCGTCCTCGAGACTCGCCTAGTGGAGGGTGAAAACAAAAGGCGCGCCACGAGAAGAGAAGAAAAAGGACCGACCGAACGGCGAGCAAAAGGAACGACCGTCTCCTCCTCCTCCTTCTCCTCCTCCTCGTCCTCGTGATTTGATGCCTTGCTCTTTGTCATGCACACTCGCTTGGTTGTTTTTCTATCTGCTTTGGTTGGTCTGATAAGCAAGCTTTCATGACCTGACAACAGTTTCTGCTTTGCTTCCGTTTCGCCTGACCTTCAGGTTTCCCCAAGAGGCTCTCTGTGGGCTTGGGGCCTCTTTTTGATTGTTTCTGAATTTCCACCAAATCGGACGTCCGGAGGCCTTGACGTGTCTGGTCCCTGTCCGAAGAACGCGCCCCTCCGCCCCGTCTCCCACCGACCCGTAGACTGCATCTCGGCCATCCTGCGAAGCGGAAAAGGGCAGGGCGTCTCATGTGCGGGGGGACTGTCGCGCTGGGAGCGGACACGCCCAAGACCCAACGGCCATGTTTCGCTTGTGTGTTCGCCCGCGTGGCCGCTCAGGACGCAACGTCCGTGTTCGCCTGTCTCGCCAATGTCACGCCCAGGACCCGACGGCTGTGCCTCGCTGTTCGGCTGCGGTGTCCAAGCCCACCATGGCTCTGTTTCGCCCGCAGCCGACGCCTCCCGGCGCGAGGCGCGAAATGCCCATCGCCCCCCCCCCCCCCCCCCCCCAACGGGCCGATGGCTCGCCGAGCGGCCCCGAGGAGGCGCCCATGTTGACCCAGAAGAGGGCGTGGTTGTAGTGGCCGCCGCCGTGGTTGCGGACGGCCGCGCCCAGCGACGGCGCCTGGGCTCGCCGTCGCCGTTCGCGCGCCGACACCGTCCGCATCGTCGCTGCCGTCTCCGTTGCCCGACGGAGCCGTCGTCGTCGTCGTCGCCTTCGCCGACGTCGTCGTCGCCGCCAGTGCCGTGGTCGCCCAGTTCGCGGCCAACCCAGGACCATCGGGGGCGTCCACGAGGGGGGCCTCGCGAATGATGGCCCGAGGCATGCGCGCGGACGGGGGGGTCCAGGGGACGTTATGAAACAAAATCGGGCGGGTGGCAGTGGGGGGTGACCCAAAGAGGGGGTGAAACAAATTTATGGCTCCTTTGGGCCTTTCTCTTCACCCCCCATGTGGGTCACCCCGCATCACCATCCGCCCGACAAGGTGGCCATGAAATCCGGGGAGACATCGGGGCCCTGGCCATGACATCCCCCCCCCCTCAGTCATCATCACCCTCTTGGAGGGCGCGCCGCTGGCTGCCCGGGAGTGGGGTGGTGGGGTGGGGGTTAGACCCCCCCGCCTTGGACCAGAACATTTGACCCTCCCCCCTTCTCCCTTTTTGCCACGTCGCCATCATGGCTCCCGAATCCTACTCTTGCTACCCTACAGCCCTAACCCTTGCACCCTTACCCTAACCCCGGACCCCGAATTCCGCCACCCGAACCCTGAACACTGACCCAAATCCTAACACCCTGACCCTAACACCCACACGCCCTAACCCTAAGACCCTCACCCTAAACAGCTGAATCCTGACACCCTAACCCTAACAACAGAACCCTCACAGCCGATCCCTAACATCCCAACGCTAAGCCACATACTAACATCCCAATCCTTACACCATGATCTCCGACCTTCCACTCCAACCCTAACTTTTAGATCCAAGCCCTAACACACGGCCCCAATCGGAACAACCGAACCCTATCACTCTAGTCCTAACGCCCGAATGCGAACACCCTAACCGTAACCCTTATACCCTAATTCTGCCATCATCGCCCTACCACGTTAACCCCAACCCTGGCACCCTAAACCTAACACCCCAATTCGAACACCCTAACACCAGACACCTAGCCCTGACATTCTGGTATACTAGCCCTAGTACCCAAAGTGGAAACCCAACACCCGCATCCCAACACCCTGAGCTTGAATCTTCAACCCCAACGCCCTAACCATAACCCGAACAACTCTCACCCTGAAACACAAACACACACACACACACCACGCACACCACACACCACACACACACACGCACGCACACACACACACATTTGGTCTGCAGGTCGGGAGCGGGCCCCTTCCGGTCAAGAGCTAAACGGGGCGCGAGTGGCCTTAATTGGGGAGACAGGGCACGGGCGGGCGGGGCCTCAGGCGGCCAGAGGGCTCAGAGAACGGGCGGTGCCGAAGATCTTGCACAGGATAAGGTACGCCATGGACTGGAGCAGGGGGCGAAGCCCCAGAGGGAGAGTGGATTGGTGTTGCCGTCATCGGCGCGCCAAGAACACCATCCTCGAGTGCTGCTTGAGGAGGGCCGTGAGCAAGTCAACGTCAGCGAGGTAGAGGAAGACCAGGAAGGCGAAGTGCACCAGGTGCCACCGACTGGTAAGGAGAGGCCCAGGAGATGCGGAAGACCACGAAGTCGATGTGCAACGTTGTGCCACCCACACACACACACACACGCACGCACGCACGCACGCACACACACAGAGACACACACACACAACGCACACACCACCCACACACACACCACACACAACACACACAACACACACCACACACACCACACACCACACACCACACACAACACACACAACACACACAGCACACACAATACAACACCACACCCCACCACACTGCACCACACCGCACCGCACCGCACCCCACCGCATCGCACCACTCCACACACACCACCACACCACACACCTCACACCACACACCACACACCACCCATCACACACCACACACTATACACCACACAACACCATTCCACACCACACCACACCACACCACCACACCCCACACCACAACACACCACACCAACACACACACACACCACACCACACCACACCACACCACACCACACCACACCACACCACACCACACCACACCACACCACACCACACCACACCACACCACACCACACCACACCACACCACACCACACCACACCACACCACACCACACCACACCACACCATTATATGCACGCACGCACACACACCATACACACTAACCCTTACCCTAACCCTAACCTTAAGCCTACCTAGCACCGCCGCCCTAACACCCTAACCCTAACACCCTAACCTGAATTCCCCTTCCTTAACACCCTAACCCCTAACACCCCAGCCCTAGCACCCTGCGCCGAAACCTACCGCCCTAATACCCGAACCCTAAAACATGAACACCCCAACCCTAACGCCCCAACCCTAACAACCCAGCCCTAATACTGTACCTGTAACCCCACCGCTTTCACCCTCGCACCCCGACCCCAAAACCCTGCCACACGATCCCGAACACACTAACCCCAACATCCCAATCCTGATTCCCTATCCCTAACCCAAAAACCCCAATCAGAAAATCCAAACCCTAACACACTATCACTAACACCTTAACCCTACCTTCATGCCGTAGTCCGACCACCTTCTAACCCTAACGCTCAAACCCTAGCCCTGACCTCCTAACCCTGACACCCTAACTATAACACCTGAGCCCTTATCCACACACCCTAACACACTCATCCCCAACCCTAGCAGTACCCGTAACGCCTTAGAGCTAACAACATGACAATACAACTCTAGGCCTATCGACTTCGAACCCTAACCCGCAATCCGTAGCATACACATACACGCGCACCCTATCCCTCGGATCCTGACCCTCTCACCCTGGCCCAAACGCTCCTAACCCTAACACGACGCCCCAACCGAGAGGTCACAGCGCCGGCCGAAGGGGGGGTCGAAACCTCCTCCACCACCCTCTCTGGCTCGAGGGGAGGGTGGGGGGGAGGAGGCGAGGGGGTTCGAACTCCCCTACCCCGCCTCTTGAAGGGGAAGGGGGAGGGGGGTTTCCGAAACCTGACCCCCTTGCAGGGGAGGAGGCTGGGGGGGGGGTTGTGCGAGCAGCCCCCCCCCTTCAAGTGGAGTGGCTTTCTCTGGCGCTCTTTCCCTTTCCTGGCCGCCCCCGAGGCCGCCGACCCCGGGGGAAAACGGCGGTCACGCCGACGAGCCCGCCACTGCCACGCCGGCAGGGTGCTGCGCCCGTGCGCCCCGCTCTGCCCTGGGCTTCGTGGCGCGCCTGGGGGGGGGGGGGCGCGCCCCTCTCCACCAGAGCCCTGATCTGCCGCGGGGGCGCGCCCCTCTCCACCCCAACAGCCACGGGGAGCGTGATCTGCCGACGCGGGGCCACGGGAGCTGCGCGGGCCCACTGCCCCAAGCCTGGGCCCGTCCTGGGCCCAGGAGCCCGGGCGCGCGCCTCCCCTGCCCAGCCAGGAGAGCGCAGGCACCGAGAGGGAGGCGAGAGCTCGGAGGAACAGGGCCACTGTGGAAGGCAGCCGGGACGGACGCGAGAAGGAAGAGCAAGCGACAGGCGCACTGGACAGCAGCTGGCGCCTTCGTCTGCAGGCCCGCGAGCGCCTCCATGTCGAACTTGCCCCCCGGCGTCGCGGGCTTGGCGGCGTTGAGGCCCGCCTCCCTCTCGAGGCCATTTCTGCCCGAGGCAGCGGCGGGGTGCGAGGCCGGCAGCGCGCTCCCCAGCGGTGGGGGATAACGACGGGGGAGGGACGACCTGGAATCGACGATGCACCGGCGATGGGCCCCGATGGCGAACCCGCCCGTTCCTGCGCCGGGCGGGCTGTCGGGCTCCTGTCGGCCATGAGTGGGCGACTGGGGGCCGATGCTAGGAGGCACAAGAGACGGCGCAAACATAAACTTTCGGAGGTCCGCGCGGATTTCTTGGATCTGCAGCCCCCCCTCTCCCCCGCGCGCCAGGGGCGGCGCCGGAGGCGCCGCCAGGAGGGTCCTGCGCAGATCCAAGAAATCCGCGCGGAGCGCCGAAAGTTTATATTATATGTTCATGCAATTCTGTTTTTCGAAATGCGTCCCGACCCTGGTGTCTGCTGGCGGTCTCGGGGGCCATCTGGGGGCGAAGGGCTCGGAATGTCGGTTCGTGCTCCCCCTCTTGGGCCTCTCTTTTGCCCCCCAGGCCATCTTGGGGCCATCCCCCCCCTGGACGTTGCCCCCGAGGAAGGGGACCTGAGCGGAAGAGGAGCGCCTTCGGCGCCGCGGAGGAGGACCACGAGAGGGGACACCGCCCGCCACGGCCCAGGGTTTCCGGGAAGGGGGCCGTTGTCGCCATCCTGGGCGCAGGAGGCAGGCTCAGTCAGCACGGGGTGCGTCCGCTCGAGCATGCTGCAACGTTTATCGTGGTCGCGGATTCAACAGGACGGGGAGGAAGAGGAGGAGGAGGAGGAGGAGGAGGAGGAGGAGGAGGAGGAGGAGGAGGAGGAGGAGGAGGAAGAGGAGGTGATATCTTTGCATGTTTAGGGCGACGTGGGACTTCATACCGCGTGAGGCCAGCTCCAGGGTCAGTCAAGACCCCACCGGCAACTCGGGTCGAAACGAGATGTGCATCAAATCGGACTGCCTCGGCACGGAGTCGGGATCGAACCGGATCGACCGCGCCAGGATGCACAGCAGAGCCATGCTTAGGGCGGGCAAGGCCCCCTACAGGCGGACTTTGGGGCGAGTAATAAACATGAGTCGCAACTGAAATTCCAACATAGCCCAAAATAATACAATACATCGTCCCCAGACTATCTTTGAATCTGCCTCCTGTAGAGGGACAGGCCCGACTTAGAGCCATGCGAACCTCGGGCAACGTCTGCTCGTCGGCATCGGCCTGGGCCGGCCGGAAGCGACATCGAGCCGGACCGAAATGGAGCCCTCGGGAGCGGCCAAGAGGGGAGCGTCCAAGAGGGGGGGGTTGCAGATCATGACTGGCGGCATGTGCGCGGCCCGGCGGTGTGTGTGTGTGTGTGTCCAACAGGGGGGTGTCCAAGAGGGTGTGTGTGTGTGTGTGTGTGTGTGTGTGTGTGTCCTTCGGGAGCGGCCAACAGGGGGGTGTCCAAGAGGGGGGGGTGCAGATCATGACCAACGGCATGTGCGCGGCCCAGCGGGGGGGCCAGGGACGTAATGAAATGAGACGAGGCGCCATGAAACCTGGGGTTATATCATGGCCCACGCCATGACATCCCCCCCCCCAAGTCATCCCCCCCCTTTGCCGCCCCCGAAGCCTGGGAGGGGAGCCGCCGAGCAGCGGGGCCCGCGGCGGCAAGCCAGGCCCCCCCCTGGGCTGCGGGTGGCGGGCGAACAGCAGACGTCCCAGACATTGGGCAGGCCACCTCACGAGACATTCTGCTGTGGATGCCTCCATCGGAGGCTCCTCAAGGCGTTCTCGCTATCTTCGGCCTCCGGGGGCCTGTTACTGCCGGGGCCTCGGGAAGGCAACAAAACGACTCAGGATGGAGCACCGGCTCCAGAGAATGGGTCGAGACCTTTGAGGGTCGACGTTATCAAAAAATCATGACGTCGGGGGATCTGGGGGCCAGAGCCGTTTGTTCATCAAGAGCAGCGGTGACATTTGGGGAAGCACGCGCGCCCCCTCCAAGGCGAAGAGGGCCCCCCAGGCCGTGCCTGCCCACGGCCGGGCACACCTCGGGGTGTGGGTGGAGGGCCAGGGTGGACGAGAAGGCGGGGTCCGGCAAGCGAGAAGGCCGAGCATCCAGAGGGGCGCGTGGGCTGGTCGGCAGGAGCACTCGTGGCTCTTGCCAAGGTTCGCTGCGGCAAACTCGTCGCCAACAGTCCTCCGGATACCATCAGCGGTGCACGGGCTTGGACTAAGCAGCTCAAGAGGGGGAGGAGGCGGAGGAGGGGGGGTTCAGCAAAGGGGGGAGTTGGCAAAGGGGTGAAGGTTACCCAGACCCCCGACGCGCTCCCCAGGACCAGTCTTTGCTCCTGGGCCATTTTGTTGACGGCCCCGAGGTCGGGGCAAGGGCCCCCAGAGGCTGAAAATACAGAACAACCTTCCATCGTGATTTTTCCATGCCCCGATGGGGGCTGGGCATGCGGCCGGTTACCCTGGCGCCCGCAGGCGCCAGGAGAGACGATACATCGAGGATTGCGCCCAGCGGCGGGGCCGCTCCCTGCTGCAATTGATGCGGCCGCGAATCCATCTTCGCGGGCACTCCAGGCTTCCAGAGAACCTCGTCTCCCCTCCGCGCTCCGACATGTCACGCACGGGGCAGTCGGGGCTACCCCAGGAGTTTCACCCGAGCCTCGGGAGCGTCTGGACGCCCTGGGGACCCTACTGAGCTCCCCACAGCCCGCAACAATTCGGACCGACAGGTGCCGACTCGGCGGAGGCTCTCCAAGCCAGAGAAGTCCCGCTCGGACGGGGCTAGGACGAGGATAAATCCGTTCCAGAGCGTTCGGGAGCGCTCTCAGGGCGTTCCGGAACGCTCTGAGAAGGCCGCGGCGCCCGAGACATCCTGCAGAGCCGCCAGACCTCAGAGACTCTCGACTCATCTTCACCCGATGTCATCCTCGTCCTGGTTTCGTCGTTCCCACTCCCTCAGGCGCTCTTCCGAGATGCACCCCCCAAACCGCCCCTTCCGACGGCGACCCGTAGCCATGCGGGTGCGGGGCCAGGGGCAGATCGGGCTCGGGGCAGGCCCGGGGAGCGCTCTGCACGACGCTCTGGAAGTCTCTGCGATTCTCGGCAGAGGCCCCCTCTCCTCCAGGCTGCCGCGGGCCCCTGTGTGCCAGATCAGACAGCGAAGCGCCTCCCCCCCCCTTCCACCCCTGTGCGGACGCGAGGCTCCCCCCTCTCCCTCTCCGACCACGTATGCCGCGTGATGCTTGCTGTGGTGGACCTTCATTGTCATGGCGTCGATGTGCGGCTCGAGGGCATCGTAGGCGTACCTGGTTGGCGCAAGCTTAGCGGAGGGCACGGACGCTGCCTCATCTTGGCAGCCCGTGCATAGCTTCGCGACCTCGTGTTGTCTTCTCCAACTTTGCGCAGCGCTTCTCCCCAAATGCTCAGAACGGTATTGCCTGGGCAGACGCGCTCCCTCTGAAGAGTCGGCTCTTGTCCGTTCGAGCATGCTGCAAGGTCCATCGTGTGATATCTTTACATGCCTAGGATTCGGTCGGGCCTGTCCCCCCACAGGGGCATTTTAAACGAAAAATGAAAAACACCTCAATGATACTCAAAATATGCCCAAAAATACTCAAAAAATGGTCCCCAGACTATTTTTTACTATTTTGGAATATTCCCCCTGTAGACGGGCAGGCCCGACTTAAGCCTAGGGCTGCGTGGGACTTCATACCGCGTTGGGGCAGCTCTAGGATCAGTCAGCACCGAGTCGGGAAATCGGATCGAGCCGAAATGTGCGCCGGATCGGGCATCGGCACGGCATGGGGCCGACATCGAATCGGATCGGCTCCGCCAAAATGCACAGCACCGCCATGCAAACATCCGGCCACATCGCCCAAATGATCGGAGACGAATCGGATCGGGCCGGTCGGAATCAATACGGAATCGGATCGGCCAGATCGAATCGGACCCTGAGCTCCGAGTGGGACCCCGTGTAGGACGAAGCCAGGACGAGGATTCCATCGGGTGAAGATACGTCGTCGAGAATCTCTGAGGCCTGGCGGCCCTGGAAAATGTCTCGGTCGCCGCGGCCTCCTCGGAGCGCTTTGGAACGCCCTGAGAACGCACCCGAACGCTCTGGAACGGATTCGGCTTCGTCCTATCCCTGTCCGCTGTCCCCCCCCCTGGCGTTGCCTCCGAGGAGGGGGGTCGGAGCAGAAGAGGCGCGCCTGGGCGCAGCGGAGCCCACTGCCCGATTGCAGCCTCACGGGGCCCCGTCCGACCGTGGTGGCCACCCTCCTCCTCCTCCTCCTCCTCCTCCTCCTCCGCCTCCTCCGCCTCCTCCGCCTCCGCCTCCTCCGCCTCCTCCTCCGCCTCCGCCTCCAACCTCCTCCTCCTCCCTCCGCCTCCGCCTCCGCCTCCTCCTCCTCCGCCTCCTCCTCCTCCTCCTTCGCCTCCTCCTCCTCCTCCTCCTCCTCCTCCTCCTCCTCCTCCCACGGAGCTTACCGCACGGGAGGCGGCCCCCCTCGAGAGGGCGGGCGCTGCCCGCGGGGGGCGTCCAGAGGCTGCCGCCCTCCAGCCGTGCCGCGCGCTGGCTGGGCGGGCCGCGCTGCGCCGATGTGGCCTGCCACCGGGGCGACGAGGGCCCGACACGAAGGGGCCCCGGGACACGCACAACGAAAGATACACAAATCCGAAGATTTTCTAAATGTCCACATCTTCTGGATGTTCGTCGCCCCCATCCACTTCCCATGCTCTTCACATTCTCATAGCAATCGACGATGATTTGCGTCTGTGTATTCTTCCCCCTCTTGACATATCCCCCCGATTGGGGGTCGATTGGGGGGACATGTTTTCCGCCCTGGACCTTTTGTCTTTACCTGTGGGCGATTGGGGGTCGAAGTTTTCCCCCCTGAGCCTATCCCCCCCTATCGGCGCCCCCTGACCTCCGGATGCCCCCCCCCCCCCCACACACACGCGGGAAAACCCGATAGAGGGGCTCCTGCTGGACGGGCGTTTTCCGTGCTCGCCGTGGTCGCAGTGGCAGCGCACGCTGGAGCGATGCCGAACTGAGGTCGCCGTGTCATGGCGGCGCCACTGCTCAGGAAGGAGGGGGACCTTCGCTGGAAGGGGCCTCCTACCTATTTTGCCCCCCAGCCCTCGGCAGTGATCCTGCACCCACTCTGCACAGTGGGAGTAGGCAGACATTACTCGGCGGTTCAGAAATGGGGCCCTGAGGAATGGGGCTCTGAGGACAGGGGGCCTCAAACAATGTAAGCTCAACCTGGGATTCCTTTCTATCACTCGGGCCCCATCCCTCAGGGCCTCTGTTTTTGAACGGCCGCATTATTGACGGCAGGCAGCGCGGGAGCAGGGAGGGGGAGGAGCCACACAACGGACGGAAGCGGGGAAAGGGGGGAGGGCAACAGCAGCAGGGGCCGCCTCCTGCTCCTGCTCCTCCTCCTCGGCCCCTCCCCGCTGTGCCGCCCTTGACCACCACTCGCCTGCCCCCCCCCCCCCGTCAGCTTTCGCACCCCTCTCCTCGACCCCCCCCTGGTTGCGGCGGGTGAGCACAAGCACGCTGCAGCGGCAACGCTGGGATCGCTCCTGGAACAGCTGCGGGCCTGCGATTCTACTCACACCAGGATTTTGACTCTTGTGCCCCGCCCCCATGCCGCGAAGTCAGAAGACGTCCCCCCTCCTCCCCCCTCCCTGCCCTCTGCCTCCCCTGGCGGCGCGCAGAAGGGGGGGAGAGGGCGAGGGAGGCGTCCTTCCAAGAGGGCACCTCGCCTCCTGGAAGCGGCCCGCCTCTTATTGCCTCTCAAGAAGCCCCCCACCCCGCCTCCCTGGAAGCCCTCCCGCCTCTGGAGAAGCCGCCTTCCCGGATGCTCCTGAGCCCTGAGGGACTCGGATGCTCCACGCCTCCTCAGAAGGCCGCCCCCCTCACACTGCCCCCCCTCTTAGCGCACCGCCGCCAAATCCCTCTTCTTCTGCCTCACCTCGCTCCCTTTCCCCTCTGCTGCGCTCCCCCCCTCGCTCGCATCTTCTCTCTGCCTGCCCTGCGTGATTGCCCGGACTGCTCTCGCCTTGCCCTGCCATGCCCCGCCCGGTCCTTGTCCCTGCCTGCCCTGCCTGCCCTGCCCGCCTGCTTGACGTGCCTCTGCCTCGCTCGTCCCCCGCTTCCGGGCGGGGCCAGGACCGAGATCAGCTGATACGCAATCAAGCTATCCGTAACCCTTTGGGAGCGGGCCTACATTAGGATGGCCAACAAACAGTTGGGTCAGGGAGTCGCTTCTGCAGATGTACCAAGCCAAACCACATAGGCTGACTATCCCCAGTGCAGAGACGGGGGCCCAAGTTCGGCCACGTCTTCATCATGGTATGGGAGTTAGGGATTCTTTCTTCTCGATGACCAATGGTTATCCAGAGCGTTCTGGAACGCTCTCAAAGCGTTCTGGAGCGCTCTGGAACGGCCGCGGCGCCCAATGTATCCTGCAGAACCGCCGTACCTGAGCGATCCCCGCCTTATCCTTATCCCTGTCGGATGCTGTCCGGGTCCTGGCTTGTTCTGACCCCTGCCCGCCTGCCTGCCTGCTCGCAGCTCCTCCCCACCCCGGCTCCCTCGAGCCCCGCCCGCCCTTTTGTTCCGTGGGCCGCAGCCGCCGCCGCCGCCAGGGCGGCCTGTAACCGATGGTGGCCCCGGCTCGCGGGTCCGTGGAGATGCCCAAACATTTACGGGAGGGAGGCGCAGGAGAGGGGGTAGCAATCAAGCTGGACGAGCTCGCGCCACGTCTGGAATTCCATGACCCTCCCTTTCAGCTGCACGGGTTGTTGTACGTCCGCCCTCTGGTGTCATGGCGGGCCTGTAGCACCCCAAAAGGACCCCGTCGTGTTACGCGCAATCTGACAAAGGGGAGCCGTGCAAGTTGGGGGACGAGGAGGTGGCGGATAGACAGGAGGATGAGCAGGATGAAGGCGAGAAGGACGAGGAACGAGGACGGCTGGAAGGACCGAGAACGCTCGGACGGGAAAAACACACAAGAAGAACCAACCCGTTTCCGTCGTGTGTAAACAGTGCTCGGAGGGGGGGGCGCGCGCGACTCTCGGGCCGCCTTCGGGGGAGGGAGGAGAGCAGCACTCGTATATGCTTCAGCTTTGAAGGGTAAAGGAGGGGAGGCGGGAGAAGAGCCAGGGAGGAGAGGGAGCCAAACGGGAGGGAGGAGGGGAGAGGAAGAAGGGGAGAGGAGCGCGGGACGAGAGGGGAGGAGAGGAGGTCGGTCAGGGCGCGCTACCCCGCGGCGCTGTGGAGAACAGAAACAGACGGTGCCACACCGCGCGGGCGGTGTGGGACGGGCGGGGCCGATGTCGGCGTCGGCGTCGGCGTCGGCGTCGGCGTCGGCGTCGTCGTCGTCGTCGTCGGCGTCGGCGTCGGCGTCGGCGTCGGCGTCGGCGTCGGCGTCGGCGTCGTTTCGTCGTCGTCGTCGTCGTCGTCGTCGTCGTCGTCGTCGTTGTCGTCATCGTCGTCGTCTTCGTCGTCGTCGTCGTCAGGGTCGTCGTCGTCGTCGTCGTCAGGGTCGTCGTCGTCGTCGTCGTCGTCGTCGTCGTCGTCGTCGTCGTCGTCTTCGCCCTCGTCTTCGTCCTCGTCATGGTCAAGGTCGCCGTCGTCAGCCAGGGCGGACTTGGGCCTCCTCCTCCTGTTCCTCCCCCCTCCTCCCCCTCTTCTCCTCTGCTCCTCCTCCTTTTGTGTTTTCTCCCCCAGTGGGCAGCGGAAGGGAAAGCTGGCCACCGCGCGCCGAGGCTTGAGGAATGCCAGTCGAGGGCTGCCCTACATCTCGGAAACAATACCGGTCGTGGTGGGTGGTACAGTGATCGGGCTACCATGAGGAGCGCCGAAGAAGGCACGAATGGGCTTTCTGGCCACGGCGAGCCTCGGCCACGGACAGGTGCCCGACCTAGATCTGAGGAGCGGTCCGAAAACCACAGCCCCTCCCGAGCCCAGAGTTGGCCCTACTTCGGCGTCATGACTGTAGGAAGAGGGCGGGGGAACGGCCTGAGGCACAACAGGCTGCAACTTCGTGTTTGCGCAAACTGAGGAGAAGGAGGACTCGACCACGACTCGGGCTTCGCAGGCTTGGTTGCGGCGGGGGGGTCTACACCCAAGCACGGAGGCGCACACTCGATGCTGGTGGCTTTGACGGCTCCGCGCAATCAAGGTAATTCGGGCCACGAGGGAAGGGAAGAGGGGATGAGGATGAGGAGGAGGAGGAGGAGAATGAGGAGGAGGACGAGGAGGAGGAAGTGAGGAAGGGATGGAGGGAGGAGGATGGGGGAGGAAGGGGAGCGGTGAGGATAAAGGATGTCCGAAAGAGGCAGACCGAACGATGCGGTCGGAACTGCATACGGCGACGGGATGGACGGGAGCAAGGGGAGGCCCGGCGCTCAGACCTGCACGGGCTCTCAAGCTGGCGCCCTATTCCACTCGCGCAAGAGGCCGCGCTCGCCTTGAGGGGAACCGCTAGGGGGGTGGCCGGCTCAGGGGGGAAACCATCGACCTGGATTCGACGACACATCGCTGATGGATCGGCGATAGGCCCCCGATAGCAAAACCGGGCGGGGTGGGCTGTACGGCCCTGTCGGCTATTGGGGGTCGATGCATCCCCCGCCCCTGAGACCATCCCCCTCTAACGTTGCCCCGCCCCCGATGCCCGTGGCTCTCAGAACCCCCGACGTGGAAAAATGTTCGCTTGGCGTGGACCCCCCAGCAGTCTGGACCCATGCCCCAGGACCAATCTTTTTCCATCCCGAATCGGTTGCCGACAGTCCCGAGGGCCTGTGAGGGCCCCAGGAGGCCGAACACCGGGAGGAAAAAAAGCTCCCGTCGTGACCTCTTCATGGCCCGAGGGGGCCTGCGCTCGCCGATGGCCTGCGCGTGACCCCGGGGCCCTGGAGGGCCTGCCGAACGGGCAGCACCCGCCGCCGCAGCCCGCCCTGGCCAGCCGCCGCTCACACGCCTCTGCGGGCTCGCGGGCATGCTCACTTGGGGAACGAGGCGCCGTTCGCCTGGATGATGCCCACCTCGGCCGGCGGTCGCCAGACTTTTCCCAACCATCCTGTGGTGTTGGGCCCTCGTTTTGAGGCGACAGCGCTCCGCGTCACTCCTCCTCCTCCTTCTCCCCCTCCTCCTCCTCGTCCCTCCCCGCTGCCCCCTCCCCCCCTCCTCCCCCTCTTTGCACCTGCTCTCCGCATGTCCATCATTTCGACACACCCCTCGCACGATTTCGTGGCCCCATAGAGAGCTCCACCGAAGGCTCCAGTGGCAGGTCCGCCTGCGTCAACGCCACCCAGGACAGCGCTTCGTGGCCCCATAGGGGTCCGCACACGTCAACGCCACCAAGGATAACGTTTCGTGGCCCCATGGGGAGCTCCACTGAAGGCTCCAGTGGCAGGGTCCGCATGCGTCAACGCCAGCCACCCAGGACAGCGTTTCGTGGCCCCATAGGGAGCTCCACCGAAGGCTCCAGTAGCAAGGTCCGCATGCGTCAACGCCACCCAGGACAACGTTTCGTGGCCCAACCGGAAGCTCCACCGAAGGCCCCAATGGCACCGCTCGCATGCGTCAACGCCACCCAGGACAACGTTTCGTGGCCCCACAGGGAGCTCCACCGAAGGCCTCAGTGGCACCGTTCGCATGCGTCAGCGCCACCCATGTAGGCACACCCCTCACACGGTTCGTGGCCCCACGGGGAGCTCCACCGAAGGCCCCAATGGCAGGGTCCGCATGCGTCAACGCCACCCATGACAGCGTTTCGTGGCCCCACACGGAACCCCACCGAAGGCCCCAGTGGCCGTTCGCATGCGTCTCCCCCGCCCAGGACAACGTTTCGTGGCCCCATAGGGAGCTCCATCGAAGGCCTCACTGGCACCGTTCGCATGCGTCTCCACCACCCAGGACGACGCTTCCTGCCCCCTAGGGAGCTCCACCGAAGGCCCCAGTGGCACCACAGCGTTTCGTGGCCCCACAGGGAGCCCCACCGAAGGCCCCAGTGGCACCGTTCGCACGCCCAGGACAGTGCTGCGTGACCCCATAGGGAGCTCCACCGAAGGCCCCAGTGGCGCCGTTCGCATGCGTCTCCCCCGCCCATGACAATGCTTCGTGACCCCATTGGGCGCTCTACTGAAGGTCCGCTGGCGCCGTTCGCATGCGTCTCCCCCGCCCAGGGCAGCGCTTCGTGGCCCCATCGGGAGCTCTACCGAAGGCGGCAGTGGCGCAGTTCGCATGCGTCACCCCCACCTATGATAGAAGGAGCTCCAACGAATGTCTCAATGGCGCAGTTCGCATGCGTCTCCCCCACCCAGGACAACCTTTCGTGGCCCCATAGGGAGCTCCACCAAAGGCCCCAGTGGCTGTGTCCACATGCGTCCCGCGCCACTTCGGCGCACCCCTCGCACGTTTCGTGGCCCCATAGGGGCACCGAAAGCGGTACCCACAATGCGGCACTCGCAGCTACATATAGTTGGGTCCTTCGTCAGGCAAATTTTGATCAAGCAGCGCCAGTGATAAGCCACTCGCAGATAAAGTCAGTCCTGTCTCTTCTGGGGCTATGCCGCTCACGCCTCTTCGGGCTCGCGCGTGCTTGCTTACTTGGGGAACGAGGCGCTGGTCGCCTGGATCATGCCCACCTCGGCCGGCGGTCGCTGGATGATTTTGATCAAACGGCGCCAATTTCTGTGACAGCCCATTGGAGCCTCTCATGCCATCAGGCTGGCTCATGCGAACCAGCACTGACCGACACTAATCGACGCTAAGTCGACGCTAATCGACGCTAAATCGACGCTCTCCCATCGATTACAGAACGCCAGCGCACGCCCATGCACCGGAGAGACGGCATGCCGAGGACACGCGAGGCTCCCAAGAAATGGGCTGGTCGCAGATCAAGTCTGTCCTGTCTCCTTCCAGAGCTATGCCGCGCCTGCCGCCGTACAGGCCTGTCCAGCCGTTGGTCGCCAGAAGGGTGCGCCTCCGGGGCAGGGCCCCCCGCGAGGCCGCAGGCTGGAGAGATCGAGGACCGATCGCGCAGGCAATGAGCCGATCGGCTTCTTGCAGATCTTGAGCGGGCTTCGGGCGAACTTCGGGCGAGCGTCCAGCGACGGCTAGTTTCCAACGACTTCGGTATCGTACCGCATCGGGCCTTCGTGCCCCAGGGCGGTCGTCAACCCATCTGGCCTGCCATCGATTCCCCCGTCTGCGCGCCAGCAGGGCGCCCAACCTGAATGCCACCAGTTCACCTGCACAGCCGTTTGGACAGATTCGCCCGCAGCTGCACATGCACGGATCCCACTTTCCGAGGGAGGGCAGAACGTCCACAGCGCATCCTCTATCGGGGTCGGCCAAGAGGGGGGCCGTCCAAGAGGTGGGACCGCCAATCATGGCCGGCGGCATGTGGTCGGGCCAGGGGGGGGGGGGGGGCCAGGGACGTAATGAAAGAAGAAGAAGCGCCATGACATCTGGGGAGATATCATGGCCCCCGCTATGATATCCACCCCCCCCTAGCCATCACCCCCCTCTTTGCCGCCCCTGACGTTGATGAAAACGACCTGGGAACCCACCGGGCGGGCGCCGGCCCGCGAGCACTGCGGCCGCGACGCTCCCTCGGGCATCGAGAGCAAGCCACTTACCGATCGGCTCGGCCCCCCCGGAGGATCAAGCGCGGAGAGCGCTTAGCACCGAGGCCACATCCCATCATAGCAGAGTGGTGGGCAGCGCATAACAGCAAACATCGTCCACGTCTTGAGTCAGTTACTGCACCTCACTCCTTTCATTCCGGGGGATCTATCTGCCTCCGATCCTGCTCTCGTGCCCCGGGCAGCACGACCCTGAGATCCGACGTTGCAGACGAGTGGCAACACCGCGGAACAAGAACACGACAGGGGCCCGGGCCTCCTCTCTCTACGGCATTCTTCGAGCGGGGTCGATCTGTGACTGTCCCGCGGCCCAAGGACGGGCGACGCCGTCGTGCTCGACTAAATTGAGTCGCCATGACCCCAGGGAATATCACAGCCTGGCGGGCCCGCCAGCCGACTCAGCCCCGACTGGCCGTCCGGCATCCCTCAGGGCCCTGGAGGTCCAGGCCCCAAGCTCAGCCTGTTGCCTCCGAAGGTCGCGATGGGATCGATATGAGGACGAGGATGGCAGGAGGAGGAAGAGGAAGATGAGGAGGAGGAGGGGGGGAAGGATAAGGACAAGGAGGAGGGGGAGGAGGGGGAGGAGGAGGAGGAAGAGGAGGGAGGAGGGGCGAGGAGGGGGAGGAGGAGGAGGAGGAACATTACCAAGCTCGCTATTTGGATTAAAGGGTGCCTCTAAACTCGTCTTTAGGGATTGGGCGATCAACAGCGAGACACTGGAGAACTTGAAAACCTATGCGCCGCTGTCGCGAAGCACTGGGGCTCGATTCCAATAAGTTCCTCAATAGCAGGCCGCATCCTCAAAATGACGGCCAGGGCCACAGCCTGGGGAGAAAATGGTCACTGACAGGAGGAGTGAAGGAGAACGATAGGGGGGGACTGGGTCAAGAGAGGAAAGATCGACTTGTAATCGGAAAAACATCGCCGATAGATCGGCGATAGGCCCCCGATAGCGAAACCGCAAGTCCCTGGGCGGGGGTAGGCTATCAGGCCCCTGTCGGCGATCAGCGAGCGACTGGGTGACGATGCGATCCCCCCTGAGCCTACCCCCCTAAAGCTGCCCCTGAAGGAGGCGCCACCGATGCCCAGATCCAGCATCTCACTAGCGGCACGCGGTGTCGACATGAGCGAAATCTGAGCGTAAAGGGGGAGGAGACCTCTCAAATTGGGTCTGAGAAGATGGGGTCAGAGGATCGCGCCGCATGGCCAATGCATCGCTGGTGCATCGGCGACGTCGATCGTCGGCGTGGAAAAAATCAGTCGACCCTGTGTGAAAGGCTTTTCTGTTTGAGTCGTCGTCTTTGTCGCCGCTTCCCCTGGCTGGAAGGGAAATCGAGCAACGTCGCGGTCGAGTCGAAGGGAAGCCCCTTCCCTTTTATTCCACCCCCGCCGGGGGAGAAGGGGTCCTGGGTGTGTGTGTGGGGGGGCGGTGTCCGGGGGGTGGGGGGGTCCCGGGGGTTGTGATCAGCCCCCGTGGGGGAGCGGAGAAACTGTCGACTCCAGAGCGTCGTCTCGTCGTCGTCGCCGTCGCCGTCGCCGTCGTCGTCGTCGTCGTCGTCGTCGTTCAGGGTCGGCGGCGCCGGCCGAAAGGCCGTCGCAATGGGGCTTCACATCGAACCGCACCGCCGATGCATCGACGATGCGGCGCGATCCCCCCACCCCATCGACCCGGACTCCATCCATTCTGGAGGGGAGGCGGGGCGGAAAGAGGAAGAAGGGGGAGGGGACGCATAGGGGGAGGAGGAGGAGGAGGAGGGGGAGGGGGAGGAGGAGGAGGAGGAGGAAGGAGGAGGAGAGGAGAAGAGGAGGAGGAGGGAGGAGGAGGAGGAGGAGAGGAGGAGGAGGGTGAGGTGAGGAGGAGGAGGAGGAGGAGGAGGAGGAGGAGGAGAAGGAGGAGGAGGAGTTCGGGTACCCTGAGGAGGAGGAAGGAGGAGGAGGAGCGACCGTACCAAGAAAGGACGAGACGAGGGCAGGCGGGCAAGACGCGAGAAGAGGGCAAGTGTCCGCGCGTCCGCTTGTCTCGTCTATGGCCGCATCGCATGCAGTGCAGCAGCTAGGCACTCAGTGCCTGTAGTGTAAAGAAGCGCGGCGCGGGGCGCGGCGTGCGTAATGATACGCAGTTTGTTGTAGAAGTGAAATGAAAGCGCTGTCCTGCGAACAGCTTCTGAAACTGTGTGCTCTGGGTTTGCGTGTTGCTCTGACGTCCCTAGGCCAATTCGCACGAGGGGGTCCGAGGAGAGAAAGGAACGAGGTAACGCGAGGAAGTGCAGAAGGCGGGGACAGGTGAGGTAGTGGCCGAGACGGTCTGGGCAAGCATCGCACCCGAGCAGACACGTGCGGCGCGGTCCAAATGGGAATCGGTGGCTGGTCCACCACGCTCCCGCTAGCGTTTT